TAAAACAGATTAATACCATTAATATTAAAGTTAACAGATCATTGCTGTTTTATTCAGTCTGTGTTTCATCCCATGGCTCGGCCCAATGTTAGCAAACATGAGAATAACTTTGTACTTTTTGCTAACCGGTTAGCATTGCAGGACAAACCAAAACTCCAGCAAGTTTATCAACCAACACTCTTGAACTTTTTAGTTTTTCTTTCTTCACTTTTTTATATTAACTTAAATATTTACTGCTTGAGGTCAATTAGAATTATGAAAACTATTGATGTTGGCAAAATGACAATAACTATGCAGATAATCTTTAAATTTTTTTTATTTCTATGTCAAAACATTTCACCTGTTTGGTCTTTAAAGTCTTTACCCTTTTATAATATTACCTCTATCCAGATCTCTTGTAAAAGTTATTAAAGGTCGAAGGTCAATCCTGGGCCTGTTCTGTATTAATTGTAAGCTTTGCTGCTGGGAACCAAACGTCATGATGAGCTACAGATCTATTTACACTCAAACATCGGATCTAAACCTTTACGCTGTTCACTGATCTGATTTGACATAAAACTTGGTTGATTTATATTTCTTGGCTTAAAATTAGGAAAAAAAGTATTTTATTTTGATGATCCAAAATGTACCATTTCTTCTGCTTTGGTATTTCATTTCTTGTCTTAATAGTTTCATGTTTCTTGATGTTTTCCACCCTTCTGCTCCAGTTAATGTGGTTTTATAAATAATTTAATGCTTTCCTCAAATCCTCAGCAGAGTTAAAAGTTGTACGTAAATTTCCATTTGTATTTAATTACAGCAGTGAATTAACTTTCATATTACATCATCATTTATTGTCTGGAACAGAGTCAGCTTGATGTTCTGCTGGTTAATAGTCGGGTCCAGTCAGAGTTCAGCAGACCGCTGTGCAGTACATCTGGATCCGCCCTCGATCTGTTAAGGCTTTGAGAAATAAAAGCTAAATTCTGCGTAGAAATTAATAACTGAAAATGTTTTCTAATTGATTTTGTTTAAAATCATGAAATTGAAGATCAGAGGTAAAATTTCACATCATATTTAACCTGTAAAGCAGTTTTTAGTTTAAATGTTTGGGTCAGCGCCGCCTCTAGAGGAAGTTTGTTCACCTCAAGCTGAAATCACACTTGGCTGTAAATTGCATCAGAGGTTACAGTGACCTTCACTCTCTCCTGCAGACGCTGGTGGACCAAAACATTTGACCTTTTCTGAACTTCTCTGGGTTTCTCTCTTCTTTTTTCACAGCTCTTGCACAAACAACATGTTCTCAGGTTCGAACCTGGAGACGATCGCGTTAGCAGGAAGCTGTGGCGTCTTTGACACAATCATCAGAGGTGTGATGATGAAACCCCCAGATGGCGAGGCGCCTCAGTGCAGCGGCTCAGGATGGAGGTAGCAGCTCTCTGCGCTGTCGTTGGTGAGTAAAAAACATTTTTAATGTAGTTTAAAGTCTCTTATTTCTGATTCATCTTCTGGTTCATTGATTCTAAAACTCACTTTTTAGATTTTAATTTTAGTTTTTAACCAGAAGTAATTCCAGAAAATGTTTCTCTGATGTTAAGATCTGATTTATTTGGTGCCACTGAAACAAAATGAAACTTAAATGGGAAACATCTTCAGCTAAATGATAACTTTATTCATGGGAAACATGAAGATCAGAGAGTTTCCTGCTTTGGTTTTTCTCTTTGATCACTAGTGTTGCATCGGGTCAAATCGGTTACATCAGCTGCATCAACTCGGCTTCAGTAGTCGACTGTCATGAATGTGAATCACCGTTGTATCTAAAAAATGATTCATCGTTTAAAAAGTCAGCAGAGAAAATAAAACGGCAGGATTTTGTTGTTTTTCTGTTTCTGAATCGATCAGAAACATTTTGAAAACTTTTCCTCTCTGAAGGCTTTTCTCCTCTTTGCAGCTTGTCTGAGGCTCTTCCCCAGCAGATCCCAGTTCTTCCAGTATGAATCTGTTTCTCTGAGCTGTGAAGGAAACTCGTCTGAGTGGAGAGTCAGGAGAAATACATCAAAACAAATAAATGGACTCTGTCCCTCATATTCAAATCACACACATGAAACTGAATGCATCTTCAGTGAGCTGTATGAAGCCGACTCTGGAGTTTACTGGTGTGAATCTGCAGCAGGCGAACGCAGCGATTCAGTCAACATCAGCGTAACAGGTGGGTTAGAACCAGCACAGGCTGATCTGGTTTAATTGTTTGCTCTAACTGGTTCAGGCTGACCTGGTTGTGGTCTGGAAGAGAGAAAAGTCCTCCAAACAGGACGCAGATAAATTCACACAAAAAGCTTCAGTTTGAGGTTTGGTATCTCAAACATCTCTCAGTCTCAGATTACAGCCACATTTATCTCATGATAAAAAATCAGTAGAGTTCAGATCTGATTTGATGCTTTCAGACGAGTTCAGATGATTCTCCTGGAACCAGGGCAATATCGACAGCTGAAATATCTGAAAAGTGTTTACAGAGAGTAAAATCCTGAAGCTGTAAAGCAGAAACTTAGATATAATTGTGGAAATTAGAATTCTGGAAAAATTATCTTAATAAAACCCGGCACTTTAAAAAAACCAAGTTTTCTTTTAAAATGTTTTTGCGCCATGTTGATCCAGTTTTTCGGCCGTATCGACATTCGTACATTTCGTAAAGCTGCAACGGAAAAACAACCAGACGTTCCTATTGGTGGGAAAGACGAAGAAGAAAACAGGAAGTGGTACGGTTATGATGGCGTGGTTCTGTTAATGATTTATTGTGTGAACAAACTTATGCAGGTGTGATTTTACTTGCGTTTTTTATTTAATGGAAATATCGTAACTGCAATATTAAGCATTTCTCTTTTTTTAACCTTACTTGAATATCTACAGTTTTGTGCACATTTCTAACTGAAGTGCATCTCATTAAGTTGCTGCTGAACTGCAGATCTCCTTCAGTGACAAACAGCTGCATCCAAGGTGCACAAAGCAGCGTTATCAAAGATCCTTCCTTCCAAAATGAAAACGCATCTACATACATACATGCTGCTATTTGCACAGTTTTATTGTCACTAAATGTCACTAATGAGCCTGTTTTCAATGCGTTTTATACATTTTGCAAAAGAATATTCTACTCACTCGCACATCCCTTTGAATCGACAGAATTTGCTATTTTTAATAACTGCACAGATTGTTGTTCTTAGTGTTATATTATATTTATGTTTGGGTGAATCTACAGTTTTCTATTCTATTCTGTTGATTAATCTTTTGCTGATTTATGAGACTTTAAGAGTTTTTTTTTTTTGACACAGCTCAGTCTGTGTTATGTTTCTTTCTGTATGCAGGAGATAAAAATGCTCATAATTTTTTTCTGACTCATTTAAAACTCGTTTTCTTCCACATTTTATTTGTCAGATGAACCATTGATCCTGGACAGTCCTGCACACTCAGTTAGTGAAGGAGAAAACCTGACTCTTCACTGCAGATTCAGGCCACCGTCTTTCTCCAATCTGACTGGTTTCTATAGAAACGGGGTTCTGGTCGGGAACAGCTCTACGGGAACCTTCACCATCCGAAGCGTTTCTAAATCTGATGAAGGATTTTATAAATGTAACGCCTCTGGAGTGGGAGAATCAGCAGAAACCTGGCTGGATGTAACAGGTGAGAAATGTTTTATTTAAATGATGCCTGCAGTTTTATGGAATGACAGTAGTGCCAAAAAACAATCTCTGTTTTATTATTATATGCTAAATTACAGTCTCTAGGGAACGTACATTTTTCATTTCTTATTCTTTCTCTAAAATGTATTGATTAATTCTAATGAATAAATTGCTTTAATATAATTTTTAGTAGATTTAATTAGGCTGCTCATGTCAACTGAGTCCAGTTGACATGAATTTAATTTTGAGTAAATTAAATTCTATGCAGCTTTTTAAAGATTTAAAGATCCTTGAAATGACTTTGCATTTAGAAGCTGAATTACCAGATTATTAATCCCCAGCGGCATCATTAAATATGATTAAAGAGAAATAAATTAGATTTTTTCATCGATAAAAGTAAAAAGGATGTGTTCTCTTCTGGCGTTCAGAGCGGTGGGTTTTATCTGCCGCCCTCGTTTGTGTCGAGATGCTCGTATTGTTTGTATGTAGGCCAGCTAACCTGCTATCTTTGTGTTTTAAAGGGCGCAGGCCTCAAACGCCTACGGCTCCGCTCGCCCTCATACTACTTCCTGTTGTGGCCTGCATTTTGTTGCTGATTGCGCTGATGTTGCTCTGCCGCTGGAGAAACCGCAAAGGTCAGTGTGTTTTCAAGTAAACACTCAGAAATTTCACATCCTCCTGCGTCTCTGTGTTCAGGTGTCAGAAAGGAGGGAGGGGAATAAACGGAGGAGTTTACGTGAAACGAGAATCTCTGTGACCTGAGGATTATTCAGACTGATTTAGCTTTAAAGGAATCATCTAACTTAAAGTTAACGTTTCGTAGCGGTCCGACCAGAATCCTGGTCAAAATTCTTGGTTAAATTACATTTTCTAAATCTAAATCTGGCAGAGATGTGACTCATTCTGGGTTTATCTGTTAACCCTGCAGTGGTTTTGAGTGTTTAAACTGAGGTTTCTAATGTGGACACAGAAAACAAATGGAAAAAATCCTCCTTTTTAACTCTGATTTTTCTTTTGGTTCATGAAAGCATCATTGCTCTATGCAGCACTGCAGAAGGTTTGAGGCTGGAGATTTTAAAACTTAAATTTAGTGTTAATGTGTTAATTCACTAAATCAAAAACTGACGTAAAGATTTCATCCTCAAAGTCTGACGACATTAATTTACACATTTTCTTCATGTTCATGGAACTAAATGTAACTATAAAAGGTCTAAATCTTAAACACTAAAAGACAAACAGAATCGTCACATTTCAAATTATTCTCTTCATTTCATTATTTAGATTTAGTTTTAGTTGCTTTTAGTTCCCACCACACAGCATTTACTGTGCATAAAACTAAAAGGGGAAAATCATTAATCATCAAATTGTTTAGTGCCTGCACCGAATGATTTATTTTAGAAACGTTATTTCCTCACTGAGTAGATAAAAACATGAGGAGTGAGATCTCATTCTACGTTAAATTTAATTACAGATTAATGACCAGAGTTCATGTTCCAGCCTGTTTCTCATGTTTTTGTCTTAATTCAGGTTTTTCTTCTTACTGTTTTTTTCTCAGTCTGTGCCGTGAGAACAGCAGCTCCATCTCTTTATGGCACAATAAATAAAAAACAAACATCACCTCTTTTATTATGGCGTGAAAGAATGAAGGGAGTTGAATGTCAAACATGGAATGTGATCATCTTTGACACAGAAGTCATCGTTTTACTGCGTGGGTTTTAGTGTTTTTACACTAATAGCTTTGCTGATGACATCAAAGGTTATTATTAGCTGTTACTCCACCTCACAGTTATGTCAGACATGTAAAACTAAATATATTTCAGTATTCTTACGTATCCTATTAAGAATCTTTCTTGATTCCATTAGTCGTCACTGTCTGATGCATTTCTATAAAAGGAATTTTATCTCAGTGCTAAAGGTGAACTCTGAGTTCACACCTAAAAGCAATTAGAGATGATTAGACCAATTAAGGCCTTAATTGTCATGATGACGCTGGTTTCCTCATTGACTTGCTTTGAAAAGCTGCAATACCTGAGAACCAATGCATGACCAGGGAGAACCTTCTAGACGTGAGGCAACAATGCTGATGTCATGCTTCATTTTTAACCCTCAGCTTGAATCACGTCATCTTAAAAACTTTACGTTTTCAGGCACAACTGAAAATGTGTTGTTTTTTTCTACACTGCAAAAACAAAATCTTATCAAGTATTTTCAAGTATTTTGTCTGTTTCTGTTGAAAATATCTTAAAACAGTTAAAATTAGACAAAACTAACACACAAGTAAATCTTCACCAAGATATCAGGGCTTTTTCTTAACACAAAAATTTCTTAATATTGATAAAAAGTTTCACTTGAAATATGGGAAAAATGTCTTTTTATAAAAAAATCTGCCAGAACTTTATAAAAAAAAAACTTAATAAAAAGTCAATATTAAGGAATTATTGACTTAAAACAAACATTAAATGTACTGAGCTGGCCAGGAGTTATGCTGTGTGAATGAATAAATAGAATAAATTGAACTTTTTAAATCAATATTAAGGAATTATTTACTTACAGAAAGCTCAGATATCTTGTTGATAATTTAGACATGAGTTAGTTTTGTCTTATTTCAGATTTACTAACATATTCACACTAGAAACCAGACAGAAATACTTGATTAGTATTTTTGTGTTTTTGCTGTGTCAGCATTTTGTCCGCTGAGACTGACTCAAACACTGACTCACTAAAAACCTTCAAGGTTTCTCTGTGAAAGGTTGAGTGACATCATACATGCATCATCTACTGTGAAAAAAATATCAGATTTGTCTATCAAAGCAAAACCAAGTAACAAACTACTTTAAACTTTATTTTCTGCACTTTTCAGCTTTCAACACAGAAATAACTTAGTTTAAGAGACAAATGTCACTGACAAGGCAATAAAATCATGTGACTGAAACAGATCCGGGGTCAGTGACTTTATCACA